AAGCCTCGCGCACTCCCGGCAGGGGCCTTCTTAACCCCCCATCCCGGGCGTCCGATGCAGCAGCTGTCCCCCTTTCTGGGCCATACCGCTCCCTTCTACATTATTTTTACCACGCTCAGTAGAGTTGCATTTCCTACTTATTGCTTTTGTGTTTATCCACTTTATCCACGAGACGAGGGTTCCTTGAGGACGGTGGCTCCGTCTTGTCACTGTTGAATCCCCTTATCTTAGAACATCCAGTCTATTGTCTGCGCTCAATAGGCGTTTGTTGTGTAAGGGTGGCCTCAGCCATCCCCGTGGGGGGGAGGGGGTGCAAACTGAGCTCCTGCCACCTGCAGCAGGTGGTGTGGAAAAGGTGGCCTTGGCCATGTCGCTGACCCTGACCTCTTCCCAGGGTCCTTAGCGGACCAGCTCCGCAAAGTCTTCGCAATGGGTGAGGCAATGGGTGAGACCACAGCAAGAGGCTCTCAATACTCCACTGTCATTTCATGAGCCACCAGGTGCCTTGACTGACACAGAGGGGGAATGAATGGGAATGATGGGCCTGGTCCCGGAGGCCCCTAATGGTGATAAGAGCTCAGACTTCTCTGTACTGATAGCAGCCTCAAGTCAAATATCTGCAAGATCCAGGACCTAGGGGCTCCCCACACCTTGAGCTTCAGGTGTCCCCGCTCTGCTCTAAGGAGAGTGTGCTGGTGAGGTCAGGCTCCCTGCTCCCTGCTGTGTCTGTGCCCCTTGTCGGGTCACCAGGCAGAGTATTAAACACAACTCTTCTACCAGACCGCCTCCTGCCTGGGCCTGGCAATGCAAGAACAATGGCCATGTACCCCCCACACACACACATACAAATACAAACACCCACAGACACACTTCCCACACCAGCCACGGGTGTCCCAGGCAGTGGGCAGTGGAACTACCCAAGCCCCCTGCCCATGTGCCACAGCCTGGGCCTGGCCTCCGGTGTAACTGGCCTGGGCCACCTCCCTGAGCCTGCTGAGGCTCGACTACTTCTGGCGCCTGCAGCCCAGCAGCCCGGGCCTGCAGCGCGCCTTCTTGGCGTTCGCCTGTTTGTTTGTTCGACGAGTGGTTCTCAGGGGAAGGTGGGTGGAGGGGAGGGGCCTGCTGGCACCCTGCACCAATCCGTGGGGGGGTGCGTGTCTCTATGGACACAAATTGGAGTAACAATTCAGCCTCACTGAATGCACTAAATATATCCTGGATTGAATCCTAGAACAGAAAAAGGACATTAGTGGAAAAACCGGTGAAATCCCACTAAAGTCTAGAGTTTAGTTAATAGTAATGTACCAGTGTTAATCTCTTAGTTTTCACCAATATGCCCGTGATGTAAGATACTAACACTGGGAGAAACTGGCTGTGGCGTGTACAGGAACACCCCATACTATCTTTGTAGCTTTTCTGTAAATCTATAATTATACCCTCAAAATGTTTATTTTAAAAATTTAGTTCCAAAGTTCTACAATCCCATGTAATATATTGAAGCGTAGGTTTAATTAGCAAATCTGCTATTCAGTTCACCTTTTATATTTTGAGGTATGACACGCATACAGTAAAGTGCACAAATCTCGTGTGTACAACTCATTAAATTTATTTATTTAGATTAATCTTCACCCGAAGGTTTTTTCCCCATCGATTTTTAGAGAGAGTGGAAGGGAGAGAGAGAGAGAGAGAAACATCAATGTGAGAGAGACACACCGATTGGTTGCCTCCCGCACACACCCCGACCGGGGCCGGGGATCAAACCTGCCACCGAGGTACGTGCCCTTGGCTGGAATCGAATCCACAGCCCTTCCATGCACGGCCCACGCTCTAGCCGCTGAGTCACACCGACGAGGGCAGCTCACTGAATTTTTACATATGGATGCACCCCCTTGATCAGCACCAGGTCAAACACTACAACGTTCCCAGGATCCAGGATCCTCCTTCTGGGCCCTTCCCCGCGAACACTATTCCTCCACAGAACTGGCCGCTGTCTCGACTTCTATACCATAGACTGGTTTTACCTGCTCTTGAACGTCGTATAAATAGAATCATAAAGTATGCACTCTTTTGAGACTGGCTTCTTTCACTCAGCGCGACGTCTGAAAATAAGCCATGCTGTCGCCTGTGGCTGTCGCTCGTTCTTTCCTCATTGGGCAGCATCCCGCTGCATCAGTTTCCCACAGTCGAGTTCTCTATTTTGTTTTCAGGGGACATGTGGGTTGTTTCCAGCGTGGGGCTCTCATGAATGAAGCTGCCTTAAATATTCTCACCCGTGTGTTTGGCGGCTATGTGGGTGCGTTTCTCTTGGACGTATACTTCGGAGTGGAATGGCTGGGCCCGAGAGCATTCGCACGTTCAGCTTTAGGCGATGCTACCAGACATCTTTCCAAAGTGTTCATACTAGTTACACTTCCCCCAGAAATGAGAGTTCCGGGTGATTTCACACTCTTGCCAATCCTTGCTGCTGTCAATCTTTTCAGTTTTAGTCTTTCTATTGGGTAAGTGTCTCGTGGTTCTAATTTGCATTTCCCCGATAGCAGTGTGTTTAGCAGCCTTCAGGATATCCTCTTTTGTGAAGCACCTGTTCGAGCCTTTTGCCCATTTTTATTAGATTGCTTGTCTTTTTCTTATTGGTTTGTAGTCACTCTTTATATATTCCGGATATGTCTTCTGTCAAATATATGTACAGTAAATATCTTTTCCCCATCTATGGCTTTTCTTTTCACTCTTAGGGGTATGTTTCGAAGAGTAGATCAGTTTGGCTTTAACCAAATAAACTATTGCTTCCTCCCTCCCCCATTCAAATCAGAAGACTTTGGCATTTGTATACATTCAGAACTACAAAGATCTTTAGAGATCATCTGTGCCAGTGGTTCTTGAGCCTCACGTTTACTAGAATAACTCAAGGAGCTTTTGAAAAAATACCAATGCCTGGCCCGCACCACCAGAGATTATGAATCAGTTGGTCAGGGGCTGGGCCCGAGCATCAGCATGGTTTAAAAGCTCCCCAGGTCAGTGCAATATACAGATCTTGTAACATAGAAACCCACACCTGAAACCTATATGATCACATTAACCAATAAATTTAATTTTTAAAAAAAAGCTCCCCAGGGAATTCAAACAAGCAGTTGGAATTGAGGCCCACCGGCCTCTGTTACTGGTGAGAATCTTAGAGAGCGACGTTCTGCTTGGCAGTGGCCAGATACCCTTTCCCATTCCTGCCTCACCTCAGGACCCTTACCAGGTGATGGACTTTTCCAGGGTGGTTAGCGGAGGCCAGTCCCTGGTGCAATCCTTGGTGGGCCTTTCTCTCCTGAACCTCTCAGTTTGCCTGGGACAGGCCTGGTTAATGCCCACTGTCTTGGCGTGATTATTCATATTAACAGCATTTCGCGCTCAGCAGTGTCCCAGTTTGGATAATACACTGCAGTGTGCTGCCCCTTGCCTGCACCCCATTGTCCTCACTCCCGACTCAGCCTCAGACTGCGCCCCCCAGCTACCCTTGCAGGTTGGGAAGATACCAGGTGGACATCTTCAAAACACAGGGGCCTAACTCCATCCCAGCAATGACCAGGTCCTCACGTCTCACCCTTCCAGCTGGGTTTATGAAAACCCCACAGGGAGAAGCAGCACCCAGATAGGAGGCCAGTGCCAGGAACCACGCCCAGAACCAAAGCCACACCTCCAGCTCCCCACACGGAAAGTTCCATTTAACCACTGCCTGGCCACACGGAGACACCGGGCAACAGCCACAACCCACGGCCTTTGTCACTGATCCCTGTCATCACTGCCAGACTGATCCAATCGGTAAGAGAGCTGATTAGAGGGGCTCTGACTAGGGGTGGGGGGCAAGCCCGCTCTTTCATGGGGACACGTGACCAGAGTCCTTGCAGACCCCAAAGGTCAGAGAGGTGTCAGCCTCCTTCATTCGGGCCAGGCCTCTTCTCAGGTTGTCACCATCAGGACAATACCTGTCACTGCAAAGACTGAGTGCCCCACCAGCCGTGTGTCACAGACGCGCATTCAACACCTCAGTCCCTGCCTCCATACTTCTGAGTCATCTAATTAATCTGAATTTCATTCGTACCTTTAGCCACATCACCTATACAAAAATAACTTACTGTGACTGTAGTGGATTGAATGGTAGCCCCCAAAAGATATGTCCACATTCCCACCCTCAGAGCCTGTGACCGTGACAATACTTGCAAAGGAGTCTTTGCGGATGTAATTAAGTGGAGGCTCATCCTGGATTATCCAGTTGTGCCCTGAACCCAGGGGCAGGTGTCCTGGTGAGAGCGAAAACACGGGGGAAGGAGAAAGGCGTTGGGAGACAGAGGCACCGAAGCGATGTAGCCACGAGCCAAGGAATGCCTGCGGCCACCAGGCGCAGAAAGAGGCCAGGAAGGATCCTACCCCAGGGCCTTTGGGTGGCAGCCCCAGGAACCGGACCCAATGGCTCCAGCTGGCTTGCTTTTCCGCCACCCCGCCCGCCTCTCTGCAAAGCTGCCGCCCACACTGTCTGCCATGAAGCGCCACTGCGGAGACACACACAGACACACTCAAATGCACACACCGTCGCACACCTCCGCTACTTCACATCCCTCTCTCAGCCTCTCCCCCGGACCTACTTCCGAAGGAGACACGGACGGACTGGATCACTCATCCAGACCGGCACAGCAGCGGCGGCCGGGGGCCAAACATCCCCCATTGTCCCGCTTTGCCCCCCTCTTCCCATCCCCCCAGGCCTTCACCTGTCCACCGTCTGTGTCCGTGGGCTCTGCACGTCTATGCGTATAAGCTCTTCAGTTAATCACTTCCCGCCCTCCTTCCCGCCTTCCCACTGAGATCTGTCCGTCTGTTTCGTGTCCCACGTCTGTGATCTTAGCTTGTTTCTCAGGCGGCACACTTTCGGGGACGGAACCCAGAGCTGCTGCAAAGCCAGAGGCAAACCCATCAGCCTCTCGGTCAGGGGGGCGAGACTAGGGGGCAGCCCGGCGGGCTCACTGGGCGGAGAATTCAGAGGGGAAGGCTTGTTTCAGGGTGAACATGAGGAAGACGATCTCCTCGTAGTTACCAGATTCATACAGACACCCAAACAAGGGGGAGCCGTCGGGGCCGACGCCCAGGCCCTGGAGGTCCGAGTAGGCACAGCTACCCGTGGCCAGCAGGGTGGGCTGGGACCAGGCTTCGGGGGCCAGGGGCTGCGTGTTGAGGTAGGCACCCAGGTTGGATCTGTGCTTGGGGTCAGTGGGGTGAGTGTAGAGCAGCCACTTCTCCGAGGGGCCTGACCCCGGGCAGGGGCTAGGGAAGCCGATGACGCTCCCGTGGCAGCCGTGGGGAGGCTCCACCAGCTTCTGCACCAGCTGGATCCCCCTGAAATCCAGCCCGTCATTGGCGCTCTGGGCCTCAACCCTGGACCCGAGAGTGCTTCTAGCGTTCAGATATACCACCCTCTGTGTGGCACCCCTGACCTCAGCCACTTGACACTCCAGGGTGTCCTGGGCCATGAAGTTGCCTCTTTGCCACGTGAGCCCGTGGTCGTGGCTGATGAAGCAGAAAGCGAAGGGGGTGGGCCGCTGCTGGGCGTGCAGTTTCCGGTAGGCATAGGCGGGCACCAGCAGGCTCTGCGTCCTGTTGCGCAGCTGCAGACAGTGCCCCGGGCCCACCGCAAAGGTGGCCCACTCCTTGTAGGCCTCGCCAATGGCAGAGTTGGTGAGGTCCTTGGCGGGGCTCCAGGATCTGCCGTGGTCAGTGCTGGTGACTTGGCACAGCCGCGTCACGTTGACCTTGGTGTGGATCTGGTGGTGCTCAGAGACCTGCCCGGGGACGGCAATGAAGAAGAGGAAGAGGGTGCCCGTCGTCTCGTCATACAGGGGGCTCGGGTTCATGGACCGGTGGCCCTCCAGCTGGGCTTGGGCCACCACCTCCTGAGCGTGCCACTGAATGCGAGGGGAGGAAGAGAGAGAGGCACTGCCTTGAAATGACCGGTGACAGTGACAGGAGCTGCACTCGGGGTGGGAGGGGCGTCCCATGGGGTTAGGTCAAAGGTCATGGAGGAAAAGTGTCCATCCAGCACTCGCTCATCTCACATCACCTCCCAGAGCTGTGGGAGCCAGGCTCCACCTCACCCCCTCCACGCAGCCCACTCCTCTTGAACTGCTGCTGCCTCCATTCCCACCAACATGTAGCAGAGCACCTACGGTGGGCTAGACCTCAAGATGCCAAGGTCACTCGGGCATGAGCCATTCCCAGCTTCATCTCGGTTCCCTCAACCTACCAGCCAGGTCCAACTCCCCATTCTTGAAAAGTAGAGCCCTAGCAGGAACTACAACAGTCTGACTTGTGTGGGACAGAATATGACAATCACATCCCATCTTCTACACATCATACTCTATTAATGCATCCTGGGAGGGGCAGCTCAGTGACACTAAGGACTCACACGGAGCTTCCATAATCCCCGAGTCTATGTCATACATGTGGCAGCTCTGCCATCTGCCCCATTCATTAACAGATAACCCCCAAGGAGCGTTTCTAAAGGCAGACACTGTGTTGAGAGCCTAACCCCTAACTCCTGGGGGCCAGGTGTTAAGAGCTCCACCTTATGTCTGGAGAATGGGAGGCTTAGGGCAGATGAGTTGCCCAAGGCCATACCTCTGGTAAGTGAATGAACCAGGACTTGAACCCAGGTCCATCTGCCTCAAACCCCATGCTCTGAACAGCTGCTATATAATAATGACCACACAGTAATAATACTAATATTAAACCCTTCGTATGTGATAGTCAGCCTTGGGTATCTGTTAAAATCAATTACTTGATCTACATGTGGGAACTCTAGGGCAGGGAAATCACTCCAACCCTCCCCGGCCCCCCCTCCCAGGTTAATTATACTCAAAGGACACAGCCCCAGTTACGGGATTCTAAGCTAGTCCTCTAAACTAGTTCACAATGACGCAGGAAACTCTCTGAGCATCAGTTTCCTTGGGCTCGTCCAGCCATGCACCGAAGCCGATGCCACCAGGCCAACTGGACTTGGTCCCAGCGAACGCATGTTTTCTCGGTGACCACTTGGGGGCACTTTCTCTGCTCCATCCGTGATAGGGCCCTGGGTCCCTCCTGGTTGCAATGTCTCCTTTCCTCCTGTCCCCCACCCCCAGCCATCTAAGGGCGGTGTGGTCCCTGCATTCCCGGGG